CCGGCTCCCAACGAGCCCACGTCAGCAGCAGCCTCTGTCGAGAAAGTGGAAGAAGACGAAGAGGAGGAGGACTAAGGAGTCCCACTCGAGGAAGTGATCTCTTAGAATAGTGTGTGCACATGACAGTTGGAAAAGCTCCCTTTAAAGGAGAAAAGAAAAAAAAAAAAAAAGAGACTGTTTTTATTAAAAATTAAATTAGTTCCCTTTAGTAATCATCTTGAAAGCAAGCATTTGCAAACATGAAAACATTTCTGGGGTTGGTTTTCCAGCCTTCTCTCCACTCTCCCATATTCCCCAAACCTGCCCTATGCCGAACCTTTCGGTAATATCTCCTAAGAGCATCTTACAATCAGTTTGGTTTTTTTTTAATCTTCATTAACCCAAACCTGGGTGGGTTTCTTCAGGGGACATTTCAGTGGGAGAACTGCTGCTTGCACAGATAGTAAGCCGTGACCTTCCGAAGTAACTACCTGACTCCATAGTCCCAATCATGTGTAAGGGGAAAAGTGCATTAGGCTCACATTAAGAAAAACTACCTAATTTTGAATAAGTAGCTCTGCACTTCTCTTTTTGTTTTCTTTTTTTTTTTTTTAATTGTTGTTAGAAAAGTATCATAAGTAACAGCTACACTAACAAAAGGTTAAACAGCAAGTAAGGGGGGGAAAATGTTCCACAAACCACTACAATCTACAGCAATTATTTGTACTACCTATTTTCCAGACTACCTACCTATGTATCTTGCTCTGCCTACCTATCTTCGAAAGTATACTGTATTTTAGTAGTCAAAAGGATGTTACAAGATTACTAATGTGAATCGCAAAATGCTTTTAGACATGTAAGTGTAGTCGTTCGTAAAGCACGCATCAATAGCTTTGGTATAGAATTTGGTACTGAAAAGTCTGAATATATTTAAATTTAAAATAATATATTTATTCCAAAGCAATTATAAATGAAAACCATATGCTGCAATATATCTTTGTTCTCGATTCTTTGCTATTCTGAGAGAGGAAGCAAACACACGCCAATATTGTAGAAAGCGGTTTAATATCTCCCTTTGGCTTCTACCTTCAGCTGCTTCTGCTAAAGGCCGTTTTCTTATTCTACGTTGATCTTACTTAATATAGCGGAAAGTGTTCTTTGAAAAGTGAATTTAAATGCTCATGTAACCACCTTAAAAAAAAAAATTTACAAACTGTTTGTCCTGATTATCTGAACGTGTTAATATGTAATACCATGAATTTTCCTACAATAGAAGATATTGTAATTTTTTTGTCATTTATATTCGTCTTGAACCTCATTTGTAAGATCATGTAATAAATTGGGAAGTATGTAATTAATTTGGAAACTTTGTAGCATGATGTATTGTTAAGAACTCTGTATAAATCCGTCTTGAAGGTTTGGCTAAAATTTATTCACAAATTGTATGTTACAATGTGTTTCGGTGTGTTCGTTGTGAACATTTGGATATGCCGTGTAAGTATTGGAAGTGGGAAAAAAAATGTCTGTGAACTCTCTTTGGAAGTGATACCGTGTTCAGCTATCTCCCACAATAAATGTGTTTTATGTTACACAGAAAATAAATATGCTTGTTGGCAATGAATTGTGTTTCTTTATTAAGGAACCAGTTCGAGGGAAGTAACAAAAAATATATTACATAGACTAATAAAGAAATTAGAGCATCTAAACAATTTTTTTTCCGGTAATCAGAAAGGAAAAAAAAAAAAAACCAAAAAGAAATCAAGGTGATGAATTGATAGGAATCAGTCAATATCTCTATCTCGACTTCATGATTTTTTTCCCTAGCGTTGTTGATTAATAAAGCGGAAAGCCTTCTTTATGGGAGAGCTTCCTTCCACCGTGTACCCGTGTCCTCTTGCAGTCATAACCCCAGTCCAGACGATCGGCGATCAAGTCGAAATCGCATGCAGTGAAAGAATATTTTGTAATGAACAGAAAGTGAAAGACGAAACTTCCAAGTGTAAATGATCTGTTCGGGTACATGTGTGGTTTGTGTGTGTGGCTTTCGGGGGCCAGGGGGCATCACGGTAGCACGAAAATGGGGGAAAACTGCCCCGCTTTAGAAAACGTCTTATTTTTGCCAGGTACCACATAATGTCAATGAGATCTAATATTGCCCCATTTTATTTTTTTTCTAATTAAAAGGGGAAAAAAAATCGAACCTGAAAAGTCCTTTTATTCGGCCGGATAAACAGAGGTAAGACCAGGAGCATTACTTGCGCTGAAGTTCCCTTTTTTCTACTACACTCCGTTCCTAGTCAACGCACTAATTGTAATTTTAATAAAATTAGCACAAAGTCCAGGTCTTTTAAAAAACTCCAGGGCTGCCTCTGTGGTAAGATGGCGCCTCTCTAAGACCTGCCTCTTCTTAGTGATGAGGAAAAGGCCATAAATCCGTTGTTGTTTATGAAAATTTACAACTTTGCAATACAACTTTATGAGTTGTTCGGTTTTTCCATTGGTCGTTGTCGGTCATGTGGATGGTAACCGTGAACATGAACTTTTTTATAATTTCCCTTGCGAGAATAGAGCCGCATTCTTTTGCTGAGCTCTGTCCTGCTTCGGATCTCTCTGGCTTTCAATCCCCATTTCATTTGTTCTTTGTAAGGCAATAGTGAACAAAGTGTGCTGAGGTTCGGCATAAGCAGCCGCCTAGAACACAGATCCGGGATGGCAATTTCCAGTTCCCCCGCTGGAAGGTGTGGCATATTGGATTCAAAGCACTGGCGTGGCAGATTTTCAACTTGCAACCTGGCTAATTTCCTGCTTCTTCTGGCACCAAAAGGAGGGCGATTCGTCTCCTGTGCAGCCAAAGCGACAGCTGTCAAAGTCGCAGGGGCTCCTGTGAGCCAGAACCTAAAAGGTGAGAAATGTATATGACACTACTGTAAGCAGGGGAAAATGGCTTAATACGTTTAAATATTAGACATGTGCAATTAAACCAAATGGAAATGTTACCGGCCAGAAATAGAGATGGCTGCAGCTCAGTTGATTTTAACTTAAGCAGTGCATGCAAAAATATGCCTAAATAAAATGTTTATTTTCTGTGATTTAGCAAGGAAGCCGTGGATTTTTTTTTTTTTTCACTAAGCTGATTTCTTTTTGCATTAAGCAGGGGGATGTTGTGACGTTCAGGTTATTTTCTAATAATTCAGTTTTACAGCATCAGTAGAGGGGATTTTTTTTCCCAGCACGAGGGAAAAAAAAAAAAAGTGATATCCCCAAACATTTTTTAATACTAATTCGCAGCATTAACTCATTAGCTTAAATTTCAATTGCAATTGACGAAATTTAGATATTATTTATTTTTTAGTATTTAATTAAAAAAAAAAAAACAAACAACCAAACAGCACAATGTCTCCTAGCTTCTCTGCCGTGTCCGTGAGGAAGGTTATTTCTAGACGGGGGGAAAAACAAACGCGGTGTCAGATTTTCTTTATCAGATCAAGCGCTGCCTGCATAAATCCCTTGCCCCGCCGTGGGTCCTTTGCCGGCGGTTCGCGGCGTGGGCGGCTTGCGCGCCTCGGGTGCGCGGAGCGGGCTTCGCGGCGGCTAAACCCATTTTAGCGCCGGAGACGGAGCTTCCCCCCCCCCCTTCTCTCCTTGTTGTGACTGTTACGGTGCGGCGCTGGGGCGGGGGAGCGGCGGCCGGCGGGCCGGTGCCCCGCGGTGTGCGCCGGCGGGGGGCAGCGAGGACCCGGGGACGGCGCCCCCGGGACCCCCCCTCCGCTGCCGCTCGGCTCCGCTCCCGCCTCCTCACGGTGAAAGAGCCGCTCGGAAGGCTTTACACGGCGGCCCCGGCTCTGCCTGCGCCGGCGGGCTGATAAAGCACTGCATTTGCATTGCATTGCGGTATCCGCCGGACTGGAGCTGCAGTGAGCGCCGGATTATTTATTGCGGGTCGCGGGTGCTCAGTGCTGCCACGGCGTGGCGGGATGGCGGAGGCGGGCGCGGAGCGCAGCGGCCCCCGCAGTCCCTGGAAGAGCAGCGCTGGCAGCCTGCGCTGCTCGGGGGAGCCCAAATAAAAGACAGAGAGGAAAAAAAATATATAATGCGGCCTACTTTTTTTTTTTTTTTTTTTCTGTGGGAGTATCGGAGCTCGGCCCCGGGCAAAATATTCCGGCAGGACCGGCTCTGCCCACTCCCCTTCCCCTTCGATTCTACCTCGGTGTGTGTCAACTGCAAGTTACCACGGTGGGAGCCGGCTGGGGAGGACCCGCTCGCATCCCCCCAGCCAGGCTCTCTGTACCCCGCCAGTCTAAACAACGGTCCGCCTTGCCCAAACAGTTTGGATTAGGAGCTATTAGTTAAAGGTTGGTTTTGATGACGCTGGTGAGCGCGAGAATTATTTGAAAGTGGTTTTATATACGAAGAGAAGGAGGTTTTTAAGCTTAAGAGGATAAGTACTCCCGCACCTGTATCCGAAAGTGTCTGGGGTCGCGGACACGTTTTCGGCGGGAGGAGGAAGGCGAAATGTTCTGTAGAGGAGGTGCTGGGTGCGTGGAATTAGGAAAACAAATAAACCGGGTATGAAACACACAGGTATCGCGAAGTGTGACTCTGTTGCGGTGGCAAAATGCAGCGACTGGCTTTCTTTCTGCTTTTCAGAGTGGGGGCGCGAACGGTGAAGGAAAACTGCTGTGAAATGTGTCCAGGCAGGACATTTCCCCGGCAGACTTGGGGGGCAGCAGATTGTTGTGATTCGGGGTTTTCTGGGGTAGGGGGAGGAGCGGAAAGGACGCCTGAATGTGACTGAAGCAGAGATTGCGGTGCAGATTGTTTGGCTGTCACTGTAACTGCTCGAACACGACCCAGTCAGGCAAACGTTCAGATTTCATTCCTTTTCGTACTATGGGATCGACAAATAAATATTTTCGCTGCCTGCGGTCAGGCTTTCACTACTTGGTTTGGACACAAACAGTAACTTGAAAAACGAGAAAGAAACAGATAAAAATGAGGGGGGGGGGGCCGGAATTAGACTGTAACCCATGCTACAAAATGTAAATATAACTAAGCCTGGAGCAATTTTTATTTTTAATTTTATTTTGGTTTTTGTGTGATGGATTCAAACAAAAGATCGTCTGCCCACAACTTTTTGGAAGTAAGGCCGGTGGGGTTGGTTTGTCCCGAGTACCCTTTTTTTCATGGTGCGTTTTCGTTCTGACTTAAACTGGCGAAAATATGCTCTTTTAAAAGCCTTTTCGCATTTAGCATGCTGTGTATGAGTGCTTGCTTGCTGGTATTTCCTCCTTTTAAAACTCTGTTCTCACTGAGTAGAAAACCCCTTATTTTCCCGGAGAAATCTGCTTTTCAGGAAATACATGTTTCTGAAATGACCTCTCAAAGCACGCAGTTAGTGAGCTGTAATTCTGCCAGGTGTGTTTGTTGATTAGCTGGGCTGAAGAGGTTAAGGAAGTTGAAAAAAAACCCGAAGGCAATCAACATCTGAATGTGAAAGTCCAGCTGAGACTGCAAACAATACAAACTATTGTGGAGCGATGTTTTAACTTACTACTGTTTTATAGGTATCGTAATCTGCCCCCGGAAATGAGACAAATAGTCTCCCAACAACAACAAAACTCTCCTTTGAAAGCTGCTTTAGGAAACGGTGCTCGTACGAATGTCACTTTACGTGACAGAGCGCGTTTAAAATTAGGCTATTCAATCTGTTGTAATGGGCACGGATTATGAGTAAACACATATTGGAATGGACAACCTTATGTTATCTGCAGGAACTGCAGGGTTACGGCTGAATTAAACCCGCATCAGCGAATTTCATCAGAACAGTTACTGTCCGAGCCCTGGGCCAAGAATTATATTTCCGCTATGGGGTAACTGCCATATTGAAAAATGAAGGTGGAAATGTTTGTTTCGTGTATTGTTCTTCCCCTCTTAAAGACACAAATCCACGTTTAATCAAATTATTCGGAGCAACAACGAAACCGATTGGCTTCTGCTGACTCATTAGAGGGGTTGTATTAATTAGGAATAGTCCTGCTGGCTCGTTTTTGAATTTGAATGTTTGATTCTCTCGGCTCTACTCTGGCGGGAGGAGGGTAGTCTTGAGGAGGAGAGACACATGGAACTTCATCTGAGCTGCCGGGGGGCGCCGGGAGCCCATGCGGCTCTTCCCGAGGCCTCCTCGGGCACTTGGTGCAAATCAAAAACCCCACTCCCCAGAAGGCCACCGCCTCAACCTCCTAATTATGGGCATGTTCATTAAGATACGAAACCTCTTCCATTGCAGAACGCGTTAGGCTCTCCCACAAAAGCTGGATTCGGCGCTGGGGCGGACTCCCTGAGCTCCGAAGGGAAGCCTTAGAGGAAGGGCAATTTTCGGCTGAATGGATAAATAAATACGTTTTAGAATAGCTTAAAAATTCTTGGGTGCAGTTGAGGCATCGCGACGGCAAAACAGAGAGAGGCCGCCCCCCGCCCTCGCCCCCCACGCTGCGCGGCGCTCCGCTCCCCCTTTCACGTGCTCCCTCCGCTCCAAAGTTTCCCTTCGCAGCATCCTCCACTGCCGTCTCCTTCCCTCCCTCCTCCTTCCCTCCGCCGGAGAGCCGGGGGCGGTTCGCCCACTCTTCCCACGGGGTTGCGCGACTCCCTTGTCGCGGGGCCTCCAACTTTTAAGGGCGCCCCCCTCCACACACCTCCAGCAGCCGCGGGGGTGTCCCCGTTCCCCGCTCTCGCACCGCCCGCGCTGCCGGGAATTATCGCCGCTGCTGTTGTTATTATTATTGGATTATTTTCCCGCGCAGGGGCGGTGCCGCGGCGGGGGCGCGGCCGGTCCCGCGGGCTGCGCGGCGCGGTGCGGGGGGCGCGGGGCGGCGCGGCGGGGCCGGGGCTGCCGGTAAGTTGGCGGCGCGGTGGCGGCGGCCCCGGGGGAGCGGGCGCCGCGCGCTCTCCCATTGGCCGCCCCGCCGTCAGCTGCTCCTATTTTCTGCTGTCGCTTTTGGCGCTCGGCCATCCAGAAACAAACCACTTCGATGACTCCTAATAGTTATCGCCAGATGTACTAATACACAACAAATCACGGTCCGGGAGAGGGGGAGAGCAAATGAGTTCCTATTTTGTGAATCCCACTTTCCCGGGGAGCCTGCCCGGAGGCCAGGACTCCTTCCTCGGGCAGATCCCCCTGTACCCGGCGGGCTATGATGCTCTCAGGCATTTTCCGGCTTCGTACGGGGCAAGCAGCCTGCAGGACAAGACTTACACCTCACCTTGTTTCTACCAACAGTCCAACACCGTCATTGCTTGCAGTCGGGCTTCCTATGAGTACGGAGCCTCTTGTTTTTATTCGGACAAGGACATTAGTAGCGCCTCTCCTTCCGGCAGTGGCAAACAGAGGGGGCCCGGGGACTACCTGCACTTTTCTCCCGATCAACAGTACAAAACCAGCGGCGGCCAAGCCAAAATTATAAATGACGAAGGCACCGACCGGAAGTACACGAGCCCTGTTTACCCCTGGATGCAGCGGATGAACTCCTGCGCTGGTAAGGCATCTCGGTGCAGTCAAGGGCGGAGAGGGGAGGAAAAGGAAAAGTTTCTTTTTTTCTCTTTTTTTTTTTTTTTTTTTTTTTTTTCTAGATAAAATCCAGATTTCTGGAGAAACACGGCTCCTGCAGAGCAATATGTAACATGAAACCTTCGCAGGTTTAGACCTGGCACGTTGGTACACAGGGAATGGTGGCCAAAATCCCAGTATATAGGTTTACTGGTGAAAGTTACAGGGCAATCCTTGGAAAGTAGGGCGAAAAAAAAATTAAAAGGGACAAAGTACTTTTATCAATCTCTTAAAGCCATCCCAAAGCCTATGCTCTGCTTCTTCGTTGTCAGAGAGCGATGCATGGAATATGCCCTCTGTACTGAGGATCCAAAGCATTTGTGGTACATTCCAACTCGCCCCCCTCCCCCAGCTCATTAGCCTGTGAGTATTGGATATTGAGAGCACGTTTCTGGGGCCGTGGGCGCACTTCCATGGCATCGCGAATTTTTTCAGACTTAGGAGTGAACTTCACATAATTGAACTATTCTGTACAGGAGTGGTGCTGGGGGAATGGGGGGGTTGGGGGTGGAGTGGGAGGGTTGTACTGGGGTGACATTTATTTTTATAATCCCAAATTTAAACGTTTACTTCAAGTGTTTGCTAATGACTCGCCTTCTCTCCCATCCTCCCGAGTTTATGTTTGCTGCAGGGTAGGTCTCACTCCTTTTTTTGAAAATTAAACTTTTAGCAAGACCATTCCGATGCTGCTTTGCATTCAAGAGCAATAAATTCCGGAGCCAATGGCAAAACGCTCTTCTATGATCTTTAGCTCATGTCTATAATTATACTTCTGTAGTGCCAGCCATGGCAATGGCTGTGTGTTTGTGTCAACACAGCCACATGTGCGTGCTTACACACACGCACAGACACATGCGTGAGGCTTCCTGGATAGCACACGTGTGCCTGTGCCTGTGTGTGCGCACAGGCTCCCAGCGCGCACGGAGCAGCCTCTGCTCAGCGACTCGCACCGTGCTACCTCCTGCACCTTCCCTAGGTCCACCTTAAAGCCTCTTTGTAGCCCACTTACCCCGCCACCGTAAGCACACTGCACATCTGCATTTACAGCTCGTCAAGCAGGAGAAAAGGAAAAGAGAGAATTAAAAAAAAAAAAAAAAAAAAAAAAGCCTTCAGGAAACCAGAGCAGCTTCCCCCACTCCCCGTGATTGTGCCTGCAAAAGGGGGCAGAATATACTAATCGCTCTTTCTGGTCTGAAATCACTGGGCCCTGTCCAATGCGATCGTTTTGTCTTTACTTCTACAGGTACAGTATATGGAACACATGGGAGACGAGGGAGGCAAACTTACACCAGATACCAAACGCTAGAGTTAGAGAAGGAATTTCATTTTAACAGATACTTAACCCGAAGACGACGTATTGAGATTGCAAACGCTCTCTGCCTTACTGAACGCCAGATTAAAATATGGTTTCAAAACAGGCGGATGAAATGGAAAAAGGAAAACAAATTCATAAATTCCACACAGCCCAGCAGCGAAGAAACAGAGGAAAAGTCAGGGGAGTAGAACCACGTTTAATAAACGCTACCAGGCCTTTCTTTAGTGCTTACTACTATTACTATTATTATTATTTAGCTTGTGTTCCTTCTGCTACTGAAATCCTATAGGTTTGTCACAGTCTATTAATCCCCAAAAGGCTTGGTTAAAAGATGTATATTTGCAATCATCTGTGACTTACTCTAATATATGTGGAAGCCCCAGCTTTCGAGCTACAGGCATGTATGTATGTAACCACCTTCCTAAAGCGTATATGGCGTCGGTCAAAGCATTAGAGAATTGGCCCAGAATTTTAAATGTTTGAGATTAGCATCTCAAGTGGGTAAGTGGGTGGGTGTCCCTGGTGTGTTTGTGTGAGAAAAGCAACTTATTTTTTATAATTTTTTTTTTTTTAGATTAGAAATGCTTATGTTGTAGAAAGACAAGAGATTTTAGAAAATGTTTGGTTTATGTTTTTGCTAGCTCCCGTTACGGCGGGCCACCTCGCTATTCTGTGTTTGGGAGTTTATGATCCGCAGGGGAGAAAAAAAGTCTTAATTATGTATAAGATATTTAAATAGCAAAAGGAAGAAAATTTCTTTTAGAAAACGTTGTATAAATCCCTGTGTATAAACTTTCAGTTAGAGCGAAGATGAATTGCAGGGAGATTTTTTTTTTTTAATGCCGCTAAACTGCTTAGTCTGCACTATAGTATTAAAGTAAAAGCTCGGCGTTAAACTTCAGGGGAAGCGAGGGAAGAGTATTCGAAGCGGGCAATTTTCTGTGGTTCCCGTTGAGCTTACGCTAAGGTTTTGGTGAGCTCAGCTCTGCACTGAAGGGGCTTTGAATTATGGACTACATTTCTTGGGGTTTCGTGAGCTTAGATCGATCTTTTTTCCCTTTATCTCTCTTCCTTCTTTCCTTCCTTCCTTCCTTTCTTCCTTCCTTCCTTCCTTCTTTCTTATTTGAAGAAAGGTCTTATTAACTTGGGGATTTTCTTTCCTGCTTCTGCGGTATCTTAATTCACATTCACATTACTTAGCACTGGAAAAAATAAATTGATACTTTGAAGAAAAATAGCTGCCATAAAAAGCTTCTACTTCGAGATTTGTAAAAGTAAAATAAGCGCAGAAAAAAAATATTGATTAATATATATGTTACATCTCTCTATATTATATTGTGTGTGCATGAGTGTGCATGTGAAGCTGTGTACAAACGCACTTGTATACGCATCGAGGCTCTTTTGTTTGGTAGGCAGCACCATTTGGGTACCACTCTAAATGTTTTAAAAGCCAAATCTGGAGAATATAATGCAAAATGGCTACCACCGCATTTAGAGGATTTTTTTTCTCTCCGAGAGGCTATGAAATAACGGCAGCCGTAAAGTCGCCTGGAATCTGACCCCCTAGTTGGAAAAAACGCTGCAGATATTTATCTTTAGTAGATATCTGCCATTTCACATCGGCAGGACCCGGCTGCCTCTCGAAAGCTCCAGCAGGAGAATAAGCGTGGGGGAAATTATATACACATATATATATGTAGAAAGGACATAAGCCTTGCCAGCATCCGAGACCGGATCGTATAGGATTTGCGAACAGTTGTAAAAAAAGCCTTGCATGGAGGAGAAGGCAGGCACAAAGCGGAGCGCTCCCTGCACACCCAGCTCCCCGGCGACCGGCTCGGAGGTGGGATGCCCGCCAGCCCCGCAGCCTCGCCGCCGGTGCCGGTGCCGGTGCCGGCGGCGGCGAGCCCCGCGCCGCTCCGCGCCTCTCCGCGCCGCTCCGCGCCGCCGTCGGGGGCCGTCACCCCGGGCCGACCCCGCGGAGCCGCCGCCATCCCCCGCGCCGCCAGCGGGTGGCGCTGGAGGCCGGCGGACGGGCGGGCGGCGGCGGCGGCGGCGCGCACGGGAGGCGCGCCCCGGGCCGCCCGCGCCCTCCCAGCTCCCCCACCAGTGCACGAGTTTACCTCTAGAGGTCATCAGGCAGGATTTACGACTGGACAACAAAAGCACGTGATGTGAAGCCGTACCCCATATTTGGGTGCCTACGTAGGAGGGAACCAAGTACATGTCCCAGTCATTTCCATAATTCATCATAAATTGTGCAAGGGTGCTATAGACGCACAAAACGACCAAGAGCCACAAATCAAGCACACATATCAAAAAACAAATGAGCTCTTATTTTGTAAACTCATTTTGCGGTCGCTATCCAAATGGCCCGGACTACCAGTTACATAATTATGGAGATCACAGCTCGGTGAGCGAGCAATACAGGGACTCCGCCAGCATGCACTCCGGCAGGTACGGATACGGCTACAATGGCATGGACCTCAGCGTCGGGCGCTCTGCTTCCACTCACTTTGGTGCCAATGAGAGACCCCGCAGTTACCCGGCCAACACCACCTCTGCCTCGACAGAGCCCAGGTACAACCAGCCCGCGACGTCTTCCCACTCGCCTCCCCCTGACCCTCTGCCCTGCACCGCCGTGGCCGGTTCGCCTGTCAGCGAGAGTCACCACGGGGTGAAAAACTCCCTCGCCAACTCCACCAGCACTTCGTCCAATTCCAGCAGCAACACGCACATCAGCAGAGACGGGGTTGGCACCTCGTCTGGGACTGAGGAAGACACTCCAGCAAGCAGCGAGCAGGCAAGTGCCCCGACCGACCAAAGCACAGCCCAGCCTTCACAGCCCCAGATCTACCCCTGGATGCGAAAACTGCACATAAGTCATGGTAAAGCAAATACCCTGTTCTTTCTTTATTTCTCTGGAGGAAAAGGAGGATTTAATGTAAACCGGGTGGCTGCGCCGAGCAAGGTCGGGGAGAGGGGGAGAGGAGGGCGTGAGAGCGGGCAGTCTCAGTCTCCGCGCACACCACAACTCTGATCGCAGGGAAGCACGCTCCCTTCTCTGGGCGAGTCCCCCCAGAAAGGATAAAAAACCCTCTTGGCCCCGAAAACACCGCCCGCCTGGCTCCCAGCGCCGGCGGGGGGAGTAGAAGGAGCCTTGCCGAAGGGAGATCGGGAGCAGAGGCTGCTCCCGGCTCTCCTCTGAATGGGGGATCTTCCAGTGGGAACGGCGCGGCTGACCCCATTTATTTTGCTTAGACATATTAAAAAGAGAATAGGAAAGGGCGAGAAGGGCAGTTTTCACTGCTGGGAAGCCGTGGGGGAGGGGGGAGGGCGAGTCGCCCCAAACTCGGCGTAGAGGGCTTGAGGGGTGCGGGGGAGCAAAGCAACTTTCAGCCCCGGGTACCTGCCCTGCCCTCGCTGCTGGGAGAGCGGCCGGAGGCTCGCTGCCTCCCAGAGCCTTCCCCAGCTCAGCCGTGGGAAAGGGCTGCACGCTTCAGCTTTGCTCTCAGCTCTGAAACCCAGCTATCAGCAGAGACATCCTCCAAATCAGCTTATATGGAGGAGGCATGGGGGAGAACTAACCTTATTTTAAAAAAATAATAATAAAAAAGAAAAGAAAAAAAAAAACCAACTGAAAAAATTAAATTAGAAAAAATCGAATCGCAAATCCAAGTGAAAACTCACCGAGACTACCAAATCCCCCTCCCCCAAGCCTTTCCTAAGAGGGGCTGGATGGGGAAACTTGTTGAGCGTTTATCCAAACCAGAAACAAAACCAAGCAGGACTGAGAATAACGGTCCTGGTTGCTGGTAGCTGCAATGAGACACGAAGGCTCCGAGAGGCTGCTGAGAATCTAAATCATGTACTTTTCTTTTCCAGACAACATAGGGGGACCAGAAGGGAAAAGGGCTCGGACTGCTTACACCCGCTATCAGACCTTGGAGCTCGAAAAGGAATTTCACTTCAATAGATACCTGACCCGCAGAAGAAGGATTGAAATAGCACATGCTCTTTGCCTCTCAGAGAGACAAATAAAGATCTGGTTCCAAAACAGGAGAATGAAATGGAAAAAGGATAATAAGCTGAAAAGTATGAGCATGGCAGCTGCAGGAGGGGCATTCCGTCCCTAAGCGTTTGATCAATTAAAAGTACTGAGCAGTATTAGCTGACCCTGCGTCGTCTCATGTCAGTACTAAGTTGACTTTCTAAAACTTCCTTGTGTTACTTCTGTGAAGAAACCCTGTTCTTGTCGCCCTTATTCATCTTTTAATCATGAGCCTGTTTATTACCATTCTCTCGCGTGTATAAGTAGATCTGCTTTTATCGTACATTTCTTTGTCTTGAATGGCTTTGTCTTGAAAAAAAATAATAGATGTTTTAACTTATTTATATGAAGCGAGCTGTGTTACTTGAAGTAACTGTTAAAACAAAACAAAACAAAACAAAAAAGAACAAAAAGAAAAAAAATAAGCTTAAAAAAAAAAGGAGAGAGAGAAAGGAAACCCTCCCCCGGTTTAGTACAAATGTTATGTGTTGCACTCAACCTGCTTAACTGTGCATGTGTGGTCAAGTGTTAATGTCTGTATAGCTCCAAGCTGTTAAAAATATTTTTATTCAAACTACCTATATAATTCCTGTGTAATTAATGCTGTTGTAGAGGTGAAATGATGAAATCAACTGAACTTGTCCTACGTGTAGTGAATAGTGAATCTGTGACGAAAACTGTGATTCCAAGCAGTATGTCCTTGCTGTGCCTTTGTATATGACTCTTTGCACGAACTCTTAGAAGTGGCTCTTATTAAGCGCAGCTTCTGTGATGTATGTTTTTTGTGAACAAAGTTACAAATATAGTCAAAGTCTGGCTGTTTGAGCAAACTGTGATCAGCTTTTTTTTTTTAATTATTATTATTATTATTATTTGTTTTTAAAAAAAACTGACTGGAAATCAACAAAAAAATAAACTTTCTATTGTAAAGTTTTTGTGATCTGATTTGTGCAAAGCAAGAAGTTGTGCTTCCTGATTTGCCTCTGAAAAAGAAAAAAAATTAGCCCGTGCAGAGTTTGTTATATTTTACCTGGCTCCTGCTGCACGTTGCGAATGGTGGATGCTGGAATTGTCCGCTACCGGTATTTTTAATTGAAAGTTTGACCATAAGTTCTTCCTTGCTTGTTTCTCGCTAGGTGGAAAGCTGCATCGCAGGACCACAATCAACACCCTTTGTGGCTGAATCAACTGTTAACTGTTTGTTGATGGTTAAATTAAAAAAAAAAAAAAAAAAACCCAAACACAAAAAAAAAAAAAACCAAACCACAACCCAAACCCCAAAACATGTGCTTTGTTAAAATACGCTGCGAGCTCCAGGGTGTGTTTGCATCACTCTAGAATTTCTCCTGTGGTTTCATTAAGTATATTTTAGGACAGCCATGTCCAAGCTCTCTGTGCCTATTAGTAATCCTCTCTAGCCACATTTCCACTCTTCACCCTTTAAAGATTTTTGGTTTTCTTCACTAGAATTAGTTTGCTATAAATGTAATGTTACTTACCCCATCAGAGCTTGAATGGTTAACTCTTCTGAGCTTCTAAGAGCAACTAAAGATTTGCACATTTACTGACTGGCTACATTGATGCCTTCCCTTAAAAGTTATAAAACAGTAAACTTTATAAGCCCCAGTTCCGGCTATATGACATTTGGGTGCCAAATGAATAGGGTTTTGTCTATGAATTAGATCGTAAAATCATCCATAGCACAGACAGATAGGCTCACTGGCTATAAAAAGTCACGTGGTGCCATTAAAGTAAGTTTTATGGTTTTGGGGAGTTGACATCCAACATTATATACCACATAACATATAATCTCACTGACGCTGGACTTCATTTGACTCTTTTGCAGGCTACGTGTGCCTCCTGGCCATTCAAATTGTCAGGTTTAGGGACAGAAGTATCCAAACCACAAGTTCTCAGTACTATGTGAAAAATGGCTCCTTGCAAGTCAAAGGTAAGTTTTGTGCACAAGTTCCTTAAAGTTTATTTGTACAGTGGGGAAGCCGAGGCTCCTGCTCGCTCTCGCTGCCTCTCGCCTCTCTCTTTCTTTCTCTTTCTCTTTCCCTTCCTCTCCGCCTGGAGGTTTTCAGGACGGTCCCACCGAGCCCGAGAGGCAGGATCAAGCACTAATGATCCAGGTTGTGCTGCAAATACCTCCCCCCTATCTCTTCACTCGCAGCAGCTAGCTCTCTATTTTAACGATCAAATCAAAGTAAACCACAATAAGCGACTTTGGCAGAGATGGATTTTGGGGCCTAGCTTTAATCACTTTGACTACCGCAGAAGATAATTACTTCCTTTGCTCCAATAGACTCTCCAAGTTTGGAGAGGTTTTGTTTAGCAAAGAGTAGTTACTGCAGGCGATTAAAAAAAGGGGGGAACAAAATAGATTGAGCTACATATTATCTGGGCAGTATCTTATGTAGGCATGACAGAGTTGGAGGCGTGATGATATGGTAATAATCTTTGGATTGGTGAAATATGTTGCGCATCAGAGCCAGTATTAAAATGGCACAGAGTGTACTGGAGTGCTTAGATACATATTTTTTGCATTGGGTTGTGCAGAAAGCTTTAGCTATGTGTATATGTACATCTGCGAGTGCATAGTGTGTTTTGGGGATGTGCATTTATAATGTTGCTATAACTTTTTCCTGATTCTATAAGTAACTGCATAAATATAAATGTATTTAAATTATATGCATGTGTGCCTGCATGTACAAATCAGTTTATACCTCTGTCTAAAACCGTGCAGATGCGTATACGTGTCTAATATTGGTCTATTCATGTACACAAAGGGTGTGTACGTGTGTACACATATATATGTTCCTGTGACTTCCTTTTTTTTTTTTTTTTTTTTTAAGCGAACCAATTGACTGTAACTTGTAGCATTAATACAAGAGACTACAGGTCATTAGAGTGCTGCAAATTATGAAATACGGGCTTGGTTTATTGAAGATTGTAAATATCCCCCTAGCTCTGCTCTCTCCCTTTCTGCCTTATATTGCTGGCTGCCATTGTGGGGTAGGCCCCAGCTGCGTGTTTACTTCAACATTCTTTTTATTTAAGTGGACTGTTCTCACTAGAGTGTGATTACTCAGCAATAAACTTTATGGCCGGATTTAACTTCAGTCTTTGAATTTCCAGGACTTGAATGAAAGGGTGAAAGGAACTCTGTCTTTCTCTGGGTAGCATTAAGGCCTGATCCTTATCCTCAGAGCTGTTACTTTGGCGAGTGATCTAGGGGTTATAAACAGACTAGTCAGGGCTACAGAATTCTGAGAATTGCCTATTATCTATCTATCTATCTATCTATCTATCTATCTATCTATCTACCTACCTACCTACCTACCTACCTACCTACCTACCTATCCAAACTAGCTGTGGGTATCTTTCTCTGCACAGGTTTGGAGTAACATTGATTCAGCAGATTGCATTGTTTTCTTTTATGAGTCATAAAGTCAGGTTTGCAAAAGAATTGAATGGTTTGATGTGAGAGATGGGCTTTGTTTTATTTCACCAGTACTGTGCCATTTGAATGCTGTGGTTTAGGGTGGTTTGGCTACTGTGAGCAAAAATGGGAGAAAGGCGCAGGGTTTTAGGAGGCTGAGGTTGTGTTGTACCTCTGCAAGGTCTTCATATTGCTGACTGATTCTTATTTTTATTTGTCTCTAAAGAAATTGTAGTATCTAAAGAAGGTTCTTCCCAAAGAGCTCAGCTTTAAAAATATTTAATATTTAAAGTCAACCCTTGCAGGAGATAGAGTCTGATGCCTTTGTGTCTGCCGATCCTTCCTATCAGCACTAAACAAACACATCTGCATATATTTCATATTAAAAAAATGAGAAAGGTTTTAAAATAGCATATCCAAATGCACATTTGAAAATAATTTCCTTATAAACAGCTGCAGATTTTATGGGACTCTAGTTGACACATTTTTGTCAATAGGGATATCAGAAAGTTGTATATGATAGGCGTGTATTATATTATACGATATGCCATAAAATTTTATAGTTTGAGGCAAGGCATGAAAAACCCTTAAAAGTTTGGTCTTCCTTTATATATAGGTCCTTTTCCAAGGAAAACCCTTTACTTGTAGAAAGGAATTGTACTAGACGCAAACAGCTCATGATTACTCAGTATTCAACAATACTGCGCTATTTGAATTAACTGGCTAATATACAAGCACGCATGGACACCCGTTGGACTAATATTTTAGGATCCTGGATATCATCTTGGATCGTAATTTTTCATTGCTTAGAGTGAAAAGATTTGCTACTGTGTATTTTCCACATTTTTGTATGTGGCTTCTGGACCATATCCCACACAAAACAATGTACAGTCGTTCAAGAGCTAGGGAAAAGAAAAATATCCCTAAGTCCAGAAGCATATGAACTGCAAGAAACACTAGAAACAAAAAAAAAGTTAGCTAGAAATGACAACTTCACCTTGTTTCTGGCCCTGCCTTGTCTTAAGCATCACAGTTGAAACCATTCAAACACAGAAATGCATTAAGATTTCCTAATACGCTTTGAAATTTGAAATTCAAACGAGCCCAGACTGCCGAACTCTGCGAGAATAGTCGCAGGTCCGAATTGTTTTCCGAGGGAAAATGTCATGGGAAATTGTCCCGGGGAATCAGGAGAGAGGTTTTATCAGTACACGTTATTTTTCTGATGAGTTTGGGGAATTAGTAAGTGCAAGTTTTTTCTATTTTACGAATGGCAAGTTGCGTTCTGCGTTTTGAAATACACTTTACTTAATCCTTTGAAAGAAATACTTGCATGTAGCGTCTCATGCCTAAGTGTAAAACCAATTAAAGATTAGGCACCTCTCTTAATGTGTGGAACTGGTGACTTTGCAAGACTTAACTTTCGCTAAACCAGGAGTGTAACAATCCAATGGAAAGTCATCCGTAAATTACAGCTCTGTAGCCTTGTCTAAATCATGTAAACGCCCCAATTTCAGAACAGGGAAATAATTATTCTGCCATTTCCTTACATTTAATATGTGTGTATCTGTGTAAAGGTGACAATAGAGGAGTTTTCAATTTGCTCCATGGGAAATTGAATAGAACTGATCATGGGGGCGGGGGGGATCAGGAGTTTTCGATTTCTAATGCTGAATACGGGAGCAATGCATTTTCCCTCCCTGTAAATATAGATTTGATGCATTTAATGCAGACACAAGTAAATATCCTGACCAAGTTAAGATGTCGTTGGCTTTCTTAGTCGTTTCTCCTTCTGCCCTTCAAATCTCCCCGATTTGAAGCTAGGGTTACTGGCTAGAGCAGAAAACCACAGTTCCCACAGTCTTCTGGTCATCTTTGAAAATATTATCCCTTTCAAATTAAAGCATCTTCACTAATGTCTCTCTGTAAGGCAAATACTCATGGACCACCCCGGTCACATGTTCCTGTAGCTATGCGCACAAACAATTTCAAATCTGACACAGAGATCGTGTAAAATTTGCATGGATTTTGCCTTATAACATGCAAAAGGAATCTTTTCTATATCCCCTCCCCCCAAAAAAAATGTATTTTCAATAATAATATTTGCTATGAAGGTTATTGGGTAATTATTGCAATTTTGTGGAACAGTCCTTGCTTGAGGTGAAGTCTGTCTCCAGATAATAAATGGCAGCCCGTGCAGTTCACTGCCAGGTTAAGTAAATGCAGAAAAGATAAATCTGCACACCCTAGGAATCACCAGCAGAGCTCGCTTTAGACCAAGTTCACAGTCAACTCGTTTGCCTAGACAAGGCTTCGCAAACAATTAGACTTGTTTCTTTATGTTTAAATCAAGGAGAAATGACTAAAACGCTTCAGCAGAGAGCTGCAGCTTTTCCCCCAAAGCTCGTCGCTCCATTCCTTCCAACCTCACGCCCAGAACTTACCCAGCATTTCACCTGCAATTGTAACCATATAGCGCCTTTGAGTAACAGGCTTTCCTCCAACGCTGCCGAAAGGCTGTGCAAACTGATCTAACAGCATTTTACAAAGCTGAGAGATTAAGGAAAAGGAAAAAAAAAAAAATTAAAAGTGCAAAAGTATCCGATTTCTCAGCAGGAAAAAAAAAAAAAGCAACAACAACAACAAAAAAAGAGCGCCCTCAGAAAGCTGGGGGAAACAAGCAGAAGTATTGAAACAAACAGTGCGAGTCTCTTACTCCTAAAAGAAGCTGCATAGCTTTTGTATATCTTTGTGGTTAAGGGCGTTACAACTGCAGGTCAAAAAGTTGAGGGTCAAAAGTTTACGTTTTGCACCACTCTTAGTCATTCGCCCAGACAGAGTTTGATGTCAATGTTATAGCCGAGATCTTGACTATCAGCACAAAAGATAAAATAGCTTTGAGTTACGTGTGTATCACAGTATGGACTCCAGGTGAACCCTACTGGCTGAATGACCTCAATTACCAAGGAAAGGATAGAAAATTCCTCTTTTCAAGAGTAATACACGTTGTATTTCATCTTGAATTATCAGCCACATTTGTGTCTGAATATCTCGGGTTCAGCCGCGGCAGGTAAACACGCGTGTTACCCCCGCAGAAGCCACAGATGTTGACTCCTCCAAAAGTCAGGTAGCAAAATGCCTCACCCTTGTTTATTATATAATAACCTGCTCTAAGAGGTTTAATGTTAAGCCTTCTCACTTTGCAAAATGGCAGGAAGATAAGATAGGAGCGAAGCTATTAACGCGTGTATCGATCCTAGCCGCGTCTTTGTTTTTGCTCTCATTTCTGTAGCGACCGCTAAACTGTGCTTAAACAGGACATGCCGGAGATAATACGGGCTATATGTTTGATCCGAAGCAGCTCGTTTAAAATGCGGAGCGGTAGAGCCGTGTTGCGATACCCATGGAAAATATTACGGAGAAGCTGGCTCCCTGCGCCTCTCCGTGATTTGGAGGGTTCTCACAGGCTTCTGGAATTACCCAAGGCGACAGTTCCCAGCGAAATT